TGACTTGCTCAAGGAGGAGCACATATAGCCAGTGGTCCAGGACTGTATCCAGACAACTTTCTAATATCTCCAAGGATGGAAGCTTCAGAACCTCTTTGGGCGTTTTGTGCCAGTACTCTGTCATCAACTCAGTAAAAAAGTGTTTTCTGATGTTCAGACAGCACCTCCTGTGTTTCACTGGGCACCACTGAAAAAAGCCTGGTGCTCTCATCTTTGCACCCTTCCTTCTGGTATTTATGCATACTGATAAGATCCCCTTTGAGCCTTCTTTTCTCCAGCCTGAACAGTCCCAGCTCTCTCAGCATTTCCTCACAGAAGACATGCTCCATCCCTTCATCCTCTTACTGTCCTTTTGTCGGAATCACTCCAGTATGTCGATGGCTCTCGTGTACTGAGCCCAGAACTGGACACAGTACTGCAGGTGTGGCCCCATCAGTGCAGAGCAGAGGAGAAGGATACTCTTCCTTGGCCTACTGGCAATATTTTGTGTAACGCAGCCCAGGATACTATTAGCTCCCTTTCCCACAAGGTCACGTTGCTGGCTTATGTTCAACTTGGTTAAACCAAGGTTCACCAGGTTGGTCCACCAGGATCCTCAAGTGCTTTTCTGCCCAGCTGCTTTCCAGCTGGATGATTCCCAGCATATACTGTGCCTGGACTGGTTCCTCTCCAGGTGCAGAATTTTGCAGTTCTCCTTGTTGAATTTGATGAGGTTCCTACCAGCCCATTTCTCTAGCCTGTCAAGGCCCCTCTGTATGGCATTATAACCCTCTGGCATATGAGTGACCATCAGTGCAGAGCAGAGGAGAAGGATACTCTTCCTTGGCCTACTGGCAATATTTTGTGTAACGCAGCCCAGGATACTATTAGCTCCCTTTCCCACAAGGTCACGTTGCTGGCTTATGTTCAACTTGGTTAAACCAAGGTTCACCAGGTTGGTCCACCAGGATCCTCAAGTGCTTTTCTGCCCAGCTGCTTTCCAGCTGGATGATTCCCAGCATATACTGTGCCTGGACTGGTTCCTCTCCAGGTGCAGAATTTTGCAGTTCTCCTTGTTGAATTTGATGAGGTTCCTACCAGCCCATTTCTCTAGCCTGTCAAGGCCCCTCTGTATGGCATTATAACCCTCTGGCATATGAGTGACTCCTCCCAGTTTGGTGTCATCTGCGAACTTGCTGAGGGTACGCTCTGCCTTATCATCCAGGTCATTAATGATGTTGAACAGGCTTGGACCAGTATTGACCCCTGGAGTACACTGCTAGGTCCTGGTCTTCAACTTAGCTCTGTGCCACTGATCACCACCCTCTGGGCCCAGCCATTCCGCCAGTTTTCGATCCATCTCACTGCACATTCATCCTGTACATCAACAGCTTCTCTATGAGGATCTTATGGGAGACTGTCTCCCATAGGACCCTCATTATGGGTCCCTCATCATTTCTCTCTTGCTGGGTGATTTTACCATCTTTCAAAGTCCATGCTTAAGCTTAGCAACACTTGATATGCTGAGACATTCCTGGCATCTGAGACTTGAGATGTTCACAACAGGACAAGTTTGTTTCTGCAAAACTTTGAATATTTGCTTATTGAATGGCATTCAATTATCAGGTTTTCTCCCTAGACCATTTCTCCAGTTTGTCAATGGAATTCTGACTTCTCCTTAATATGCTTCCTGACCATTGCAGCCTGGCAGCACCTCTGCACTTAATCAGCATATTCTTTATTCCATCATCCAATTTTAAAATTTTAAAAAAGAGCCAGGCAAAGGAAAGACCCAATCCAGAATGTATTTTTACATTTTTCACAATGACCTAGACTCTTAGTGTAGTTTTCCAGCTGTTATTGTACCCATTCTATAATAATTACATGCACTCTATATTTTGTCTGGCATATTTCACACTGTCTCCAGTGGTGTTGTCATGCCTTCGTGAATTCAAGGTATAGGATGTTTACAGGAAGGCCCTTTATTTTCCTGTGCAAGTCAGAAATTATACTTAGTTTGATATAAATTACTAAAATATGGCAAACAGTTCATCATATCCCTTTGTTATGTTTTAATATGTTTTAGAGGGTCACTTAGAAAATATTTTGATTTAAGTTGGGTTTTTTCCTGGGTAATTTTGACCTGTCAGTTTAGCTTTATTTCTTTAGTTTATCCTTTCATATCTCTTTTCCTCTTTGAAAGCAGGCATGTAGGTATTGTTTGGTTTCAAGCTTCTGTATTCTCATGTGTTTTTCATGATTTCTCAGAGGTAACAGTTGGGATTACTTTGGATTGTACAGGATTTGTTGGAATAAATTTAGTCAACTGTAATTTAAACCAGATTAATTTCTCTAAATTCTGTGTCTTGTAGTTCACTGTTTTTCCTTTTGTTCTTGCTCCTATTCTGCTGATGGTGTGCTTGCCATCTGATTGCAGCTGACCTCTTTGTGAGAAATGACGCAAAAAGGCACAGAACACTTCTATTTTCCTGGCGTTGTCCACTTTCTTTCCCACTGAGTATTGGAATAACTGCTTCCTTGCTGCTCTTCTTATCTATGGAATTGTGGGGTTTGTTCTTTACGTACATACCTTTTTTCATTCTGTGATGTGACCTTTCTGAATTTGTTTCTGTATCAATGTGCTGCTGTTGTACTTGTCCTTGATAATTTGACCTTGTTCCTTTTTTCCTATTGCTTCTCACATTTTGAATCATCAAAGCGTTTGTGAATAGCCAGCTGGTCTCTTATTATATATACTTCCCTCTTCCATGTTAAGATAGTTTGTACTTGTGTACTGAATACTGCTTCTTTGAGAAGTCCTTAGTTGTCCTGACTTCTTTCCACCAGAATTTGATTCTGGGAAGAAGAAATCTCTGATTGAAGGAAGCATACTTCAGTAAACTCGGTAGAGTCCCTTGAGTTTGTTCACTATTCTCCCTTTTACGCTTACTGAGAATGACTGATTGTCATTTTGTGAACACAGTCAATTACTTTGCCTTCCATCTTTGCATTCACTCAGCTAATTTATTTCTACATTAAAAAAAAAAAAAAATCCCAAACCCTAACTGAATTTCAAGAACTGGCTGAACAGTCTGTTGTATTGCGGAGTCTGAAGAGCTGAAGAACTCCTTCAAGGGATGCATTTCAGACAGAATCCTTTTATTCTTAGCAATACTCTTAAAGCGCGTTTTGAAGCCCCTTTTTCCGTGACTTGCAACCCTCAGTTGTTCTTCTGATCAGAGTTGTTCTTCTGATTATACAACTTCTGAGTTGTATAATTGGTGTGATTTGGAGTGTTCTCACTGCATTTCTTTTTAGTTGCAATGTTTCTTTAGTATTATGTATTTTCTATTTCCATTATTTGTTTTGGTATTGTTGAGATGCATATGACTTCTTTCCTTCGGAAGGCTTTATTTTAATTTTATAACATCTGCACCTCTGATGTTAAGTCATGTCCTCACAGGTGAGGTAAAATTTGGAGCGGAGGGAGAAGTAACAAATACCTTCTAGGTACTGCAATGATGAATCTCAACCATCTTAATATTCAGTCTGTTGAAGCTTTAAGTCTTAGGTAAGACAGGAGTGCTAGAAGCAACTTCAAAACCTGTTCTTCCACATACTTTTATGAAAACTTATGCTTTCTGCCACAAAAGAAGTAGTCTGCTTCAAAAAGAGGGGAGGCCAATGCCAGCAGATCTTTTCACACTTGTTCTGGTTTGTATCTGACCCAGCAATATCTGAGCTAGTATACTATTTTGCCATTATAATCAGTGAAGAGAGCAAGCTACTTCTCTAAAAGGTGGACTACTGCATTTAGTTAGGTAGCCTAATCCCTAAAGGTGTCCCCTTCTTTCAACCAGTTAGAAAGGAAGCCTAGTATACTAGCTTAGGTGTAGGTGCCTACTTCTGGTGAAATTGATCTTAATTCTGCCATTTACCTTTTCCATAGACCATTACTGCAGTTCTGTTTAAGTACTGAGGGTCAAAGCTGCATTAGCAGTGGGGAAGAACTGCTCTAGAGATCAAGGAAAGTAAGAAAAGGATTCAGTCAATGAATGTAGAGTTCAACTTTGTTTTTTCACGTGCCATGTCAAAGATTGATTCTTGTGGTGCCTGTAGGGCCCATGTTGCTTGAATCAAGAAACTGCCTCTGAATGAGCCGAGTGCTTCCCTCTGTTTCTTGCGCCTGTGGAGTAGAGGTTGTGACAGATATGTTTTTATGTGAAGTACCCGTGTACTCTGCGTGTGATAGTACCTTGGCTGAAGTAGGGCTTATTGTTATATTAATCTCAGAAATACCTGCTTGTGGTACCCAAAATCGGCTACATGGTGCAGTCTTTAAAGACTCTTTCTTTGAGTAGAAGCTGTAGTTACTCTTGATCTCTTAACCCCAGAGTTCCTCACCCTGCTGTAAAACTGCTTCCTGAGTGCAAGAACTAACTGCTTCTCTGCTGAGATGCTGAAATTTTTGAGCTCCGTGGCGTTCCATTGCAGTGCTAATGAAATGACATGAGGTACTTGCTAAATGCAGCAGCCCCAGAGAAGCAGCTCATTGTGCCTTTGTAGATTAGACTACAGTTAGAACAGTTTGTGTGTGTGACACTTCATGTGTAACCATTAGAAAGAATTTCTTGTTCTTGTGGTAGCTTGGAAGAGAGTGGCCAGTAATGACAGAGCTCTAGCTAAGGATGATAAATGTGTCTAAATATTGGAAATTAACCTTTCCAGATGATGAATTGTGGAAACTATGTGAAGCTTCTGCCATTCTAATTAGTCTGGCTAAAACATCTAGCAAACAGAGAGATTTCTAATGTCTCTGAGAATAGAAAATGACTGCAATAAAGGGACAAATGCCAGCATATTGCAGGAGGTGCCCTGTGCTTTTTTTTTTCTACCTTGACTGATAGAAAAGATAGTGAGATTAAATGCCGTAGGTTTTAAAAATTCCAATTTTAGCTTAGATTTCCAACTTTACCCTTAAATGTATAAACCTAATGTTATGGTGTGCTTTATTTTGACAGATAAGGAAGGACATCATTTTTCTATATTCTGGGTGCTGGTGAGTGTTATACTAGGTGCGGTAGCCATGCTGTGCAAAGAACAAGGAATTACAATACTGGTAAGAATCCTCTTATTGACTGAATTTTCACCTCAGCATCTGTCAGGTGCAGTTGTGGAACCTCCAAAGATGAATCTTCTCCACAGCTAATTGCATGCACACCTTTTTTTTGTTCTGTTCAGAAATGTTGATGTTATTAACTACAGAAATGTAGTTAATGTTGACAAAAAGCAGTATTCTAGGGGATCTGTCTTGATGGTATCCCTGCCAATCTGTTAGAATTCTTGAGTTTATCTTTTGTAAGCAGATAGCATTTACCTTTTAGTTTTTTGCAAAATTTAAAAGATTTACAGTGTTAGTTTCAATGCGTATTGTATTCATTGGCCTTGTTTTTGAATGTAATTGTCAAGATAGAGGGCCTAAAAACTTCTCATTGAAGGCTTATGAACAAAGATATAACTGTAGGAGAGCATTTTTAAAAGCTCTACCCTCTTACTTTTGTGAATCGTGTAATCAGATGTAGGGTTTATACATCATTGTTTATGCATTTCTAATACTGAATCTCTTCCTTCTGTTCCTTATTTAGGGATCTGTCTATGCAAACAGATATAGTTACTATTCATGTTCGTTGTGCTTTTGCTTTTTATTACTTGAGTGAAGTCATTCTGTTTTGGGTGACCAAATCAGCCGCCTGAAATACTACATCTTTGATTTTTACCTTTTATATAGCGATGTATCTTATAAATAAATCTGATTTGTAGCTTTAACTGAAATAGATAAAGGAACAGAATCAAAAGAATTATTTGCAGCAAGGACCCTCTTGTCCTTGCTAGGAAAAAAGGAAGAAGAAACTACAGAAAACTTCCTGCTTTAGGACATTATTTTTGGATGGATGTTTGTAGAGTGATGTATTTTTCAAAGGTTTCTGTAAGGATAACATAAGGCATTCTCTTAAGACATGGTGTGATTATTTCCTTTAGTGATATGAAGTAATAATTAAAGCTAGCAGACACAGAATTGTTATTGGATCTGGGTTTTGTATTTATTTGTGGCTGCATTGATAGGATGATTATATTTTTTGTTGTGCTGGGGTGCACGGGTCAAAGGGATGAAGGGATATATCGCACATTAAAAAGATTGCTTGTTGGCTGAATATATTTTTCAGGAGGATTCATGCCTTCCTATTCTCCATGCAAGTGAGCCAAAAGCCTTTTAACTGCCAGGTGGCCTTTCTATGTGGAATCATGTCACTCTCTAACCTATCTTCTCTCTTCTCCCTTTGGCTGTTAGAAAGAGACTTGTGGCCTCCCAGTGTCCCAAATTTGCCTCACCTGGAACTGTTTTTACTGTCTTTTTTTCCATTCAATCTTTAGAACATTGAGGTAATTTCCAAAGTTACTAGGATGTTGGTTAAATAGTCAAGGGTTGTCGTGGTTGGTGATTTCTGAAACATCGAAGGGAAAATGTTAAAGTTGGATTTTGCTGGTCATCTTAACAGAATTACCCCGAACATGTTTTGGTTGGTTGATTGCTTGGGCATAGTATGTGCAAGTGTAGTGTCGCAAAGCATTGAATATGCTCTAGTTTTATGTGCAATGGCTGATGTCACATAGAGCTTTGCTTTTTTTCAGCAACTTCCATTGTGTACATACCTCTGTTAAATCTTTCTGAACCTTTGTTGAAACAATTTATGTATGCTTTAAAAATAGTATTTCTGAAACCTGACAGTCAAAAGATAACTAAGCTGCACAGCAAAAGAGTAAGTAGAAGGCTTAAATAAACTCCACCTTGGTGACAGAAGCCTTACCTTTTGACTGCAGCATTTACACTGTGGAACATTTGGGAAAGAAGACAGAGAGCAGAATACCATTGCAACCATGCATATGGGGTGTAGCTTGTCTGTACACAGTATTCCTTGAAGGGTTATTCCATGTAGCAGGAGAATCCTCGTCACAGTAACATGATATTCCAATGATCTGAGCTCAGGTTCTTAATCAACTGTTCTGCCATCATTACTACCAATCCGTGTCTCTACTTGTTTGGAATCGGAATTAAGATCTACAGTAACTCATGGCAGAAGTGGAATTTGAGATGTATTTTAAAAAAAAACTTGTGGTTAGCTGCTCCATCTTATGCTCTTATTTTTCTCTTGGTTGCTTAGGGTTTGAATGCAGTGTTTGATGCACTGGTGATTAACAAGCTAAATGTTTTGGAACTTATTCAAAAGTTACTGCATAAGGACAAGTCATTGGAGGTGAGTCCTCAGTTTCTTTTTGTTCTGGCCATTCAGATAGTCATGTGCTAAAAGACTGAGAGTTTTGTTGTTGTTGAGGGTTGAAAAAAATAGTCAGCCTAGTAAGGCAACATGCTATGACATCTTTACAGCAACATGAGTAGTAACGGGATAGGAGTAGAATTGCATTGTGTTGTGAAATCGATTCCACACTTCCCTCAACAGTATGTTAAAAATATGGTGTGGAAGAGCTGACTGATGCAACAAGTTCTCCAGGATCAGTAGCTATACACCTGAAAGGGCTGTTTGACACAGTTTGGTCAGAGTAAAGAGAGGGAGATGTATTGAGATGTATTCAGATTTTCAAATGTGATTGTTAGACATTTGAAAAAGTACATTAAAAAATATTGTGTCTACTTTGTCAATGCCACTAAAGTATTACACTGTTTTTCTTTCAGAATACAAATTACCAAGCAGGAACAGTTCCTAGTAGCTTTGGAGTTTAAAAGAAAAAATATGTAAGCACTAATAGTTGCTAAGGATCAAATTTCTGGGTTTTGTTGATACTGCTTTGTCTAGTATTGGCTCAAGTGGAATCTGGCACCTAGTATTTACACTGGCAAGCAAATCACAGAAACAATCAGCCTCAGGTGAATGATTGATAGCAGCCAAATAGACCAACGGCCTTCTAGAACATCACTGCTGTTCAACAGCTAAATCATTTGCCTCTCCTATCCAAGGCTCAGCAAAGCACAGGAATATTCATTGTACTTTGCATCAATCAGTGGTTTCACTGCGGAGAAGTCTTGCTCGTGTTTCTGAGTAGCACAAGTCCTGTGGAGCTTTTAAACTCCTTTGCAAAGAGTGCAGTGAGGAGCTTCAGGGGGAAATCAGTGAAAGTGGAATCTCTAGAACTGAAACAGTAGATTTGACCAAGAACAGCTAAGTGAGAGGTATAGGGGTACTTCAGGCAGCAAATAGGAGTGCTGGAGAATTTTGCTGGATAAAGAGAGTAATGTCAACTAGCACATGACAAGGACAGTGTCGAGAGCTGCAGGGGACTAAAACAGAGCCAGTTCAGAATTAAAGCAATGGAAATAAGAGATAACAAGGAGTACCCTAGGCCAGTCAGCCTCACATCAGTGCCTGGTAAGATCATGGAACAGACCATCCTGGAAGTTACGTCAAAACATATGAAAGACAGAGAGGCAATAAGAGACAGCCAACATGGCTTCACTAAGGGCAGATCATGTCCGACTAATCTATTGACCTTCTATGATGGAATGACTGCATCAGTGTACAAGAGCTCCTGATGTCATCTACCTGGATTTCTGTAAGGCCTTTGATAGGGTCCCCCACAACGTTTTTGCTGCTCAAATGGAGAGATATGGGTTTGACTGACAGACTGTTAGATAAGGAATTGGCTGGATGTCCGCATCCAAAGAATCATAGTCAATGGCTCAATGTCCAAGTGGAAACCGTAGTGAGTGGTGTTCTCAAGGGTCCATATTCGGACCAATACTAGTTAATATTGTTGTCAATGTCATGGTTTAACCTCAGCCAGCAACTAAACACCACGCAGCCACTCACTCGCTCTCCCTGTCCCCAGTGAGAAAGGGAGAAGAGGGAGAAAAAAACCAAACAAACTAGTGGGTTGAGATAAAGACAGTTTAATAGAACAGTTACAGAAGAGAAAATAATAATAAAACAATATACAAAATGAGTGATGCACTGCAATTGCTCACCACCTGGTGATTGATTGCACCAGCCCATCCCAAGCAGTGATTGTGGATCCCTGCCCCCTGACCAACCCCCATTTATATATGTCTATTTATATACGTCATGACGTCTATGGTATGGAATATTCCATTGGCCATCTTGGGTCAGTCGTTCTGTCTATGCTTCCTCTCAACTCCTATGAGTCAACTCTTCCATGCAAAAATCCATCGTGTACTGACACTTTCATGGTCAGATGTGTAGAATGGAAAGAGAAGTGGCCCAAATGATATCTCATCTCAGAGAAAACACTTGTCTTCCATCTTCTGCTTCTCTAGTGGCTTGTTGAGGCTGTGTAGAATAATTTCAGCCGTCAGAGGATCCTAAGGCGGTCCCACAGCAATGTAATGCAGGGGGTCAGAGAGAAGCTATATCCTTCATTTCCTGTCTGAGTTACCATTTGCTAGCTGGGTGGGGTGTTGGAAGCTTGGATTTGCATCTCAAAGCTGTGACAGGGATATCGTTATAGTTACTGATGAGTCTGTTTCCAGTCTCTACTGGTGAAGCTTGAAGAACCTCTACAGTATGCAGTGTTTTTCTTTTCATTTATGAAACTGATGTGTGCTTGGAGAAAATACGTTACACTTCATGGAAGAAAAAATGGAAAAGTCTGCCAAATTAAGCTTCTATGACATCTTTTCTCTATGTTTTATGTGAATTGCCTTCTTTAGACCCTAAAGTGTATATTGTAAAATGTAATGTAAATCAACTGAGTTAATGTTGATTAAATACATTTTTTTTTTAGATCTTGGGTAATTTTAGCCTGACGGGAGTGATTTGGGTGCCTGTCTGTGATAAGCTTTTAAATCACATTAATTGTGAATACTTTCATTTGGTTTCTAATTCCTCCCTGTTTCTAACTATGCAGTTTTGCTGTTATATGCATGTAATTTTACCTCTAAAGCAACCTAAATGAACAAAAACTTTCCATGGTAAGTAGTCAACTGGATGTAGTTCACAAAGTAACATCCTCCATTTTAAAAAGAAAACACAGATCAATGTAATATGCTGAATACAAAGGCTTTGTTCTGCTCAAATTCCCTATCAGAAATCTCTGTGTAAAATTACGTTGGCTATAGAGTTACTGGGAATTCATAGAAGAGAGACTTCTTGAATAAAAAAGTTGTCTGAGAAGGAAATTGAAATGTTTGCAAAAAATATTTTGCAATTAATTGATGAAAGCATGGTAAAGTTTGAGAGCTTTTTATTAACTACAAAAATAATAAAAACGTCAACTCTAATAGCAAAAATGCAGAGGAATAGCCTCTTTTTCTAAGACAGTTGTGAAAAGGATGTGAATGTAGTTGAGAGGAGAACAGAATAATGTTTTTTATATGAGGTTTTGGGTTTTTCCTTCTTTCTTGTAGAACATTGGGCTGTTAAGAAAGGGGCTGCTTTTCAGAATAACTCTTCTGATGTCTGGAGGGGCCAGTATACTTTATATACGCTGGAGAATTATGGGCACAGGGCCACCGGCTTTCACTGAAGTAGACAACCCAGCTTCATTTGCAGACAGTCTGTTTGTGAGAGTAAGTTATGAAGTTGCTTTTCTCTGGCTAGCTCAGAACATTTGTCTTTGTCATCAAATTGGATTTTCTGTGCTTCAAAGAAACAATGAAGTGGGCGGTCTCTACCTTTCAAGATGTGTGATGAGTCACCTTCCCTTGTGCTGCTGTCATGAATTTCTGCAATTTTTTTAAAATAGTATACCTTGTATGTTCTGTGCATTCAATTTAGCATGCACTGCACGCATTGAAGTACATTCCCATTTACTCACAATTTTTCCCATGCATGCAAGAATTTAGCTTTTGCTGGGTTTCATCCCTTTTCCACATACTGTGATTGACTTTTCATCTGTTCTTTCACAATTGAAGAAAATATCATAAAGCTCTGGTCTGGTTCATTTGGAGCATGTCTTGGGTTTATATCTCTGACTGTTAAGGCTCCTTCTGGAGATGGAGGATGAAGGGTGAAGACAGCAGGTGCTGTCTTTTGACTTTTTCTCCTATTGTAGGAGATTACTATTTTTACATGTGGATATTGGTTAGACAGCACAGAATTTCATTTCCCTGCTCTGAATAGGAGAGCTACCTAGCTATTTTTAAAAAAAAAACACACATCAATTGCACAGCTGTAACATAAATAGATAGGTAACTAGTTGTAATCTAACAGTATTTAAGGCCTTTTTATTGTATAAAATATGTTTTGTGATAAGGGAAATGATAGCACAGAGAAGAACTAAAGTTACATACCCCCGCCCTTAAGTTTAGTATCAAATAAATGTTTGTTTTCTTTTTGACTGACAGGCTATAAACTATAATTACTACTATTCCTTGAATGCATGGTTGCTGTTGTGTCCCTGGTGGCTGTGTTTTGATTGGTCAATGGGCTGCATACCCCTCATTAAATCCGTCAGCGACTGGAGGATAATTGCACTAGCAGCACTTTGGTTCTGCCTAATTGGTCTGATATGCCAAGCTCTGTGCTCAAAAGACAGCCATAAGAGAAGGTAAGAGACAGTGATGAATTTTAAATGCCCGGCCAACTTGAGTACAGTATTATTTTGTTAAAACCACTACTGATAATTTTAACAAATCATTGGAACCAGTGTCTAGCAAATGCAGTTCAAATAAATATTTATAGGTGTCATTACAGTTTTGTCCCAATTTGGGCCCATCACTGTACGCAGACCAGTGGGAAAGAGAGTTGGAGGAGGAGGTATGGATGGCTGCTATATTTTTCTGAAATTCCATTTTGAGATCCTTGACACTGTAGGTGGTAAAAAGTAATCTGTGCTCACAACAGAATAGGAATTGATGTATGTTGTTGCCCCTGCTTCTTACAATTTATCGTATCCTTTAATCTTCTGATAATGAAAGAGAGAGGAGATATGGCTCGAAAGGAGGTATAAATATTGGTCGTGGCCATACAATTAAAAAATCAAATGGTGACCCATACTATCTACTGAGGAAACAATTTATACTTTACCCAAAGGAAATAGAAAAATTTATTGTTAACTATTCTATCTCACTAAGGACTTCTGTTTAACTTTTCAGGGTCTGTTCCCCTGCATTTTATGTATAATTAAGTTCTCTGTTCTTCAAAATTTTTCAACAGCTCAATCACCACAAGGTTATTCGGTTGTTCAGAGTGCTGAATATTTTCTGTTTCTTTTCTGTGGTATTCTGTAATTTCATCTCTTCCCTCTCACCCCCTCGAATGTTAACATCCCACCTGCCTCCCTTTCTGCTGCTGCTCCCATTCTCATTTGCACAGGTAAAATCATTTAGGAGAGGGGTGGAAATCTTGGTACGAGTGGTGTCATACTTTCTAGAAAAAAACCCACTAAGTTATATTACTGAGCAGTTTTTTAGGAAAAGCGAAGACAAAGGGTATAGTGAAGACCTAAAACTCTTGGGGATGAGAGAAGTGTAAGAGGGCACATCCACATTACAGTACAGAGATTTATTTGTAATATATTAGAGTAGAAAACTACCGTGCCTGTGGCCTTTATAACAAACATCTGACACAAACCTGGGATTCACATTCCTTTATGTGAGCTCTGTAGAAGCAAAGTACCTAGCGTTGGTTGTCTAAGCTCTATATAGTCCAGTTACCTGTTGAGGATTGTTCATTCTAACACAGATACCTAAAACAAAGAAGATGAACTGCCTTTGAGAAGTGCCTCTCTCTGAACTGTAGGAGCATAGATGACTAACTTTCAGATGGTTAAGCACAATGGATTCTACTATTGGTGTAGTTGTTAGGAAAGAAAATGCACTCTCAGTAGGACATGTACCTAAGGTTCTTCTTTAACAGTGTCCTATATTTTTCCTCTCTTACTGACTTACTGGTTCCAAAAATAGACAGGTGCTTTTAGACAGTTCTAAAATAGAAAGTACCATTACTTTTCCTGCCTGTTTATGTTAAATAGGAATTATGTAATTAATGTCTTATGGGGCTATTTTCTGGCTTGGAAGCATGAACATTGTTTTTTCTGGGAATTGTAGCTGGTATTTTAGAAGTGCCTGATGGAGTAAACTTTCAAAACCTCACTGAAACTTAATTTGATTTTGTTATGTAGGTCCCAAAAGCTGCTTTTGAATACCCATTTCCATATGCACATCCTTCTACACTGTTTTAAGTAAAGTTTATAAGTGGAAAAGGTACTTTTGTTAATATTTGTGGTTGATTTGAAAATCTGTTTCTTGTTTGCAGAATTCTTACACTGGGACTCGGATTTCTTATTATCCCTTTTCTTCCTGCAAGTAACCTGTTCTTCCGAGTAGGATTTGTTATTGCAGAGAGAGTCATCTACCTCCCCAGTATTGGATATTGTATTCTATTTACATATGGATTTAGTCTCTTGAGTAAGCAAGCCAAGAAAAAGGTACTATCAAAACAGTCAGTAAAGTTGATGATGAATTGCTTCAATTGAATGGTTTGTTTCTTAACTCATCTCTCTTTCCTTCAGAAAATTCTTGCTGTGGCAGTAGTTGGAATCTTGGTGATAAATGTTATGCGCTGTGCACTCCGCAGCAGTCAGTGGAGGTCAGAGGAGCAGCTTTTTAGGAGTGCACTGTCTGTGTGCCCTCTGAATGCAAAAGTAAGTGATTCACGTGGACTTCTAATCTATCTTTTTTAAATAAATAAAAAAAGGTGTTTTGAAATTTGGGATAGAAGAGGTGTTGTGCATAGTTAATATATTATTGTTCAGTGTTATTCGCAGTCTTGCTTGGTGCAAGAATATGACATTGACATGTCAGCCACCTAAATTACAGTGGTAGCATAGTCAAAATATCAGACAGTGCAAATTGCAATATTGTGATTCAGAACTTGGTGGTGGGAGTGGGGAGAGGAGGCAGAAAGGGGAATGTACTTCAGGAAAGGCATCCAGCCAAATTGGATGTACTGCTAATAAAATCTGCTAAAACAATGGTGTGTATAATTGCAAGTTATTACAACAAAATATCGAAAAGAAAGTTGTAGCAATGTATTCACCTGAATAATGGCTACGCTATCATTTTAGAATCCTTTTTGTGTACCTTCCAGTGGTGTATATATGTACAGCTAAGGAACAAATCATCATATCATCAGTGTAATTGCAGGATGTGGGGTCAGATCTTTGCACCCACTTCTGCTCTTTTACAGAATGGGCTAGTGTCTTCAGATGCGGGCACTGAGGAAAACTGCGACATCCCTTGTGAGGCTTAGGGAGGGAACAAGTAAGAGAGTGGGAGTGGATGGGATGTTTCACTGAGCTGAACAGCAGTGTTTGGCACAGTAGGCTGAATCCAGCCTGCCAATAGAGGTGACCTCCACAGCAGTCCTTTGATAGCTGAGAGTGTGATCTGTTGGAGCATACCACAGAGCCCTGATGTTGTCTGAATTTTAGCAGAGATTCTCTTTGAAGAGCCTAGGAATAGGAACGTGCAGCTTGTTAATTAAAATACCTTGATGTCTTAGCAGATAAGATTTCTGTAATCTAGAGTGGTATCTAGACAATACAGATCAAGACAGAGTTTAAAAAGGAACCTGTGAATGCTCAGCTTTGCAAAAAGAATAATAAACTTAGTATCTACTGGAACACAAATATGCAGCTGTAAAAAAGCATTTATGGCCAATATTTACAACATGGTGATGCCTTTCAATAATCTCAGATTTCAATACACAGGAAAAGAGGGGTTGTATTTCATTGTGGTGGTGGTGGTAGGCGACCATCTTCTTTTTAATGATGACCTCAGTGTATCTTGTCTTCTGGATGACAAGCGCATGCTATAAATGGAGCAAACGCAATCTGTTTCTTTGTGTGCAACTCCATCCATCTGCCATGGTAAGAGTGCTTTAGACAGATCCACACTCTCTCTGCCTGTGCTCCCAGCCCCTTGGACACAAGCCACGTCTGGCTGGGAAGCTGTGTAGCTGCGTTCGCACAGTGCTGTGCTTGAGCCGATAAGCTGCGTGCGAGCTACTGAACTAATGCAGCTGGTTCAAAGCCAAGGAGTGTATAGGGAAAATGAGCTTGTGTTTGTCAACATTGGGGCCTGTAGACATGCCTGAGCTCTGTTGCTGCTAGTGACAGCTTGGGCAAATGGGTAAGCATGGTGATGTGAACAGGGAGGGTTTTGTAGACTCGCATTCCTATTTTGCTGGAGGAGTAACTTTGAAATCACAGTAATAAGGAACTTTTCTAGGCAACAGCATTAAAGAGTCCGTGTGTGAGAGCCAGTCTCTTTTTCTTTTGTGGACTCAGCTATGTTTTTCCAATTTTGACAAAGATAAATGTAAAAACAGGAACCTAGGTTCTGTTCTGATCTTCTGTTGTCTTGAAATTACAGACTTCCTTCAAAAATGACTCCACAGAATTTTCAGTGGCCCATTTATTTCAGTGGGAGGCTGATGAAGACCAAAAGATGGAATGCAGATAATAGCTTTTTCTTGTTGTGCTTGGAACATCTTTAATGTGTGTAATGTAGCCATGCTTTACTTCCCTTATGTAGCAGGGTCCCAGAATCTCCAGGTGTCTCCCAAATAGCAACAAAAGCAGCAGCTCCTAGTTCATGTTTTGTGGTACAGCTCTTTGTAATTCCCAATTGTCTGTATGTGAGCAGTGTAGAGTAAACTTACTTTAAGTCTAAGTAACAAGTATTTACAGCAGCGCCTTCTCTAATTTTAGGACTCATCTTCTTTAAACGTCTTTTTAGATAGAGGTTAAATCTGCATTAAATCAGATTGTCTGGGATAGTAGTGAATCTACCCCCTTGAGTGATGGATGCATCTGGCTCAAGAGGGTGAAACTGAGGATCAACTTTGATAAATGTGGCCCAGTGATTTTAAAATTTGTTGGAAATAATCAAGTACCATAATGAAGTTACAAAGATTTTGCCTTTTTTTTTCAGGTTCACAATACAGATTTTTAAATGTTTTAAATATTTTACATTCTATTCTTAATGTTATTTATTTAAAATACTTTAAATATTCTAAGTACATATGTTAAAATTATTTAAAGAGAGGGAGAAGCATGTTACAGATCTTGGTTAGACGTATTCAGGGGTATATCACACATTTGAACTTGCATAGCTGTATGCTTAAGTTAGTTTCAAAGGTTGTTAGGCTGAAACAGTATACATTTTTAATACATTTGCCAGTATTTTTCTTAGCTGAACAGAAAGTGCCTTTATATTGATTCCATTTCCTTTTACCACCTTTTTTCATGCTGTACAGATTGTCTTAATTCCTGGACGACAGTGGTGATATACTCTAGTGTGAGTTAGAACCAGGCCTGTGTTATTTCTACTAAAGCAAATTTTGTGAACAGTTATAGAGACTGTTTTCTCCTGATATGTTGATTATATGTTACAGGTAATTTATAAATTTTGAGTATTTCAGTGCTACTGGTTTGAAAGGCTCACTGGATCCAATCTGGCATCTTTTCATTTGATGTCATTTTGTTGCAAATTAATCCTGGAGTGCTTTGCTGAAGTACAGGAATATCTAATTACAGGCTATGATAAAAACATAACTACTGTTTCACCATATCAGACTACTATCTTCTTAGCTTTAGACATCTGTATCTGAGCTAGTCAGGCATGTTCCCATTATAACTGGGGAAAAGAAGCTGTCCCTTTTAGCGTGTGGTTCATCATCACCTTGGACTAAATGACTGATGTAGGGCAGAAGAACTGCACCCTAGATCTGTGTGTTTTTCTCCAGTGATGATAAAAGAAGTTTGAATGTCTAGAGCAGATGTGAATACAGAAGCTTATGTGAGATTTTGCCCTTGCCCTAATGTTGTTTTTTATTTCTAGACATTGATCCTCACTTTCTGAGGTCACTACAAATTGTTTCTTTTAATTTTAAAATTAATTTCATCTTAATGCCTTTTTTTTCCCCATGTGATAAGTTACTGTTGGAAGTGCCGAGTATCTCTTGGCTTTTAGCAAAGACATGGCAGTTTCTAAGAATCCACAGCGATGGTTTTTATTTCTGGCTGACTTCTTCTAATTGATTATCTAAATAAAATTTGCAATTGCATTGTTAAATACATGGGAAATATGTTTTTTCCCTAGATTTGAGATAACTGAATTCATTTATTTTCTAGATTTGAAATAACTGAATTTAAATTATTGTAAATTGTTAATACTCTGTATGTAATCTATACATTCTCCTTGCTATTGGCTTTTTTTTAAAGGCTAAAACTTAATAAACATAACTTTTAAAAGCCATTTCAGTAGCAACGTTTCTGCAATAATAAGCAAAGGAGTTATGGTAACTGCCAACAGAATGTGTTACTAGCCAGTCTGCCTTGACATAGTAAGGGATAGTAACTTTGTACTTAATGCTTTATACAACTGTAATTATTATAGATACATGTTTGTCAAAGACAAGCTGTGCTAATACTGAAAACCATACAACAGCTTCTGAGATTACTTTCTATACTTTCTTAAAAGGTCTTGTAAAACCTCTTTGTGATAGAGCAAGATTTACTGCTCTTTCAGGATTTATGAAGCTGATCTAGAGAGCATTTGCTTTAGATATTGAGAATTCTTTCCTATGCTATGTATTAAAAGGGGATTATCTTCTGCAGAATTTACCTTAAGTGCTGTGGGCTATGTTTATAGGGGCTACTGGCAGTGTTTCACCATACAGATACCATTTTAGATGTCATTTTTTTTGCATACAAGCACAGTCATGCAGAAGAACCTTTACACAACATGAGCTGCACAAAACAAAATGGGAAGATCAAAAAGGCTTTGTTTTATTATTATTTAGAAAACAGAATTCAGTAGTTGAGGTAAGAGAAGAGTGTTTGATGAAAGAAGCTGGCATTGAACAGAAGCATCTGCATGTTTCTGTAGAAATTTTGACATCTGTGCTTTGCTTCCATCCTTTACAGCAAATGTTCATATTTGCTGAAAAGGTGATTATAAGCAGTTAGGAAGAAAGAATAAAATAGTTGATAACAGTAGCACTCTAACTGAGGGGGTGTACCTTCTAGAAGATGTTACTACATTTCAATATCTTCCCATATTCTTTTGAGGGGGAAAAAAACCCAAAAAAATCAGTTTGACAGTAATTTTGATTTTGTACAGGAAAATTTAATTTTTTTTCTCTCTCTTCCTCATTTAAATGTGTGTGCATATTTAAACACTTAAATAAGAGTTCAAGCACTGTGTGTGTCTAACAGAATAATGTACAGTGATTTTGCTTTTTTATACTGGCTTCTTAGACCAATTGAGGTATTGCAAACACAGAGCCAATTCATTTCTAGGCTATGGTGCCATGTTTATGTGTTTGCTTTAACCAACACGTGCCTGTTGAGATCTACTAGGTTCTGCCCTAGGGTATTTTTACCTAACTGCCCTGATTGCGGAGAATACTGTGTTGTTATACATCCCTGAGAAATGCTCCTTTTAGAGCTATTACTGTAAAGTAATTGCCTGTTTAAGATTGATAAAGAGAATGTGGGCATAATGTAATACGTCATTTCCAGTTAATATCTATCTTTAATCATTTAATAACGAAATGCTATGTCTGCTCTTAAATGTTTAATCGGGAAAGGAAAATCCTCTCTCCCAGGTTGGCATGCACAATATCTGTTAAAGG